CCTTCCTTTCTTCAAAGAGTGGTCTTCGTTCCCCAACCATGTTGTGGGAGATATGCCATTGAAGGAGAAAAAAATTCAAGAGCAGTATATGAATGTTTTAAAGGAGTCAGCTGTTAAAAAGAAAAAATGTCAGATTCTACTGGATTATTGCCTCACACCTCTTTAGATCCTAGCACAGAATTCTAGCAAGCATGATAGATTCTATTTCAAACATTTAATCTTAAACTTAGAACTGCAGAGCTGTAAGAGACCCGAGGGATCATTGAGTCTATCCCTTGTAAGGGAGGCACAGTGGGGAATTCAACCCCAAAACCTCTGGCTCCACAGCCAGATACAATTCTCAGCCAGGGTTGATTTGATGTAAATCAAATTGATTTAAAAAACAATTTAATTTTTAAAAATTTGATTTTTTGATAATTTAATTTTTTTAAATCAATGTTTTGTCTTGAATCATGATTTGAATTAATTTGATTTTTATCCACCCCAGCCAGATACCTAAACCATTGAGTTATCCAGAAGTTCTGTAAATGCCTAACACAGCTGAACTCAGGATAGAAGTTGGGGATATTCATGCTGGCTGTTCGGGAGCATTTCCAAAATACAGTGGGGTCTCTACTTAAGAACGTCCCTACTTAAGAACAATCCAACTTAAGAACAGATCCATTTGCTAAATTTTGCTTCTACTTGAGAACAGAAATCCAAGATAAGAACAGGGAAAAAAAACTTTCCTGCTCTTTTTTTAACCTTAGGTCATCTTAGGTTAAAAAAAATTCTCCCCCTAGTGGTAGAGTACGTATTAACCAGCTTTGCATTAGTTCCTATGGGAACTAATGCTTCAGTGTACGCACGCACCTCTACATAACAAAAAAAACAGCCAGAACGGATTAATTGGTTTGCAGTCCATTCCTATGGGAAATTTTGCTTCAACTTAAGAACGTTTCAACTTAAGAACACCATTCCAAAATGGATTAAGTTCTTAAGTAGAGGTTCCACTGTAGTTTCTATGGACAGAAAAGAGCAGATACGCATTAAATGGTTTTCAATGCATTCCTATGGGAAATGCAGATTCAACATAAGAACTTTTCAACTTGAGAACCACCTTCCAATACGGATTAAGTTCTTAAGTAGAGACCCCACTGTATTCCTTTCCACATTTGAACCGTAACTGAAATTCAAAGCAAATGCTTGACAATTGAAGAGGAATGCCAATATAATAGAGGGAAGCACAGTAAAGCAGGCATCTTGGCAAGTCTTCAGGACTGAGTCCCATGATCGAGTCTTCAGGACTGAGTTCCAAGCCCCGAGTCTTGAGTTGTCGCCCCCCCCCCCGCAATCAAGACAGCCAGCCTGGAAGGAAAGACTAGCTACTGTCTCTGTGCATGCACAGTGCCTTTGCAACTTCTGAGTCCCCATCCCTGCAGTAGAAGCATTATTTCCAAATGTTTCTCTGCTGTATTGTGGGTTGTACAGGGTATAGGAATATTTTCTATAGCGGGTAGGAGGGTTATACAGGGCTCAGGCATACAAATATTTTGAATTTTTTTTTAAAATGGTATTAATGAATCATGTTGACCAAGCTAGCAAAGTCATGGTGTAGAAGCTAGTTCTTTTTCTTTGGTTCCTGTGGACGCAGTGTCCAAAATCCTATTATTGTAAAATAAGCCATGTAAACTGGATAATGTCATCATCTGATGATGGGAATATTTAATTTGAATTAATTAAAACCTTTTTATCGCCCTCCTTTAGGATCTGAGGCTTTCTAGGGATCCCTTTAGCTGTTGGGTGCTTCAGAATGGGGAAGGAAATTTATTTATTAAATTTGTACTCCGCCCATCTAGACAGAAGTCTACTCTGGGCGGCTAACAATAATAGATAAAAACAATAGATTCAATCTGTATTTCTTCAATATTGTCCTTAAAACTATGGCTTAAAAAAAGATTAAGAATAGCTGCTTTGAAGCACAATTTTAGTTAAATTCCAGACTGAATGTTTTCTCTCACTGTTCTCCTTTTCACGCTACATTTTAATTCAGCCTTTCTCACAAAGCCTTTAATAGCTAACATTTGCCACTGGACTGCCGGCGGCAGTGCCAGTCCTGGTAGTGCTGAGCCAGTGGTAATTCTGGCTAATAAAGGGTTCCCTGCCCTGGGTCTCAGAAAAGGGAACCGTAGGGTAGGGAGCCTTGAAACCTGAAAAGTGTGTGGAGGGGGATAAGAAGGTTTAAATTAATTTAAATGAAATATTCCTGCTGCAGGATGATTATGTCCTGCTACTTGTACAGTGTAAAATTGTGCAGGAGGATTTCATCTATGTTGTTGAGGTCAATGGGAGAACAAGGTCATGTGGTTGAAATCTTCATTTTTGCATGTAAGGAAATAAAGCCACCCCGTGATTAAAGGGACATTGCATCCATTCCAGTTTTGGAAATGAACTATGACGTGCTGAGTATGAGTGTGGCTAATTTGCATTCTACATGATCTTAGGATACGCAGCCTCAGGGTTCAAATGGAGGACAGGATTTTCCCACAGGGTTTTTGCACTCTAGTACTGGATCTTCCAATTCTGTTCTTTTTCTTCCTGTTTTGTGGTGTAAGTCTGTTTAGACTGAGGAAGGATGAGACATACCTGATGATATCAAATAATTGCACATAGTGTTGTGGAAAGACATTACATTAATCATCCAGCTACTAACAGTTGTTGTTGCTAAAACCTATTCAGCATGACTTCCTGTACTGCCTTGTGTGTAGTGCTCTCAGTATAACCCAGTTTTCTGATCCAGCTGTGGTATCCTTTTTCTATTTCTCTTTTTAAGGTTCAACCTTTCTGTTAGAAGGTTGTCCTTGGAATGCTCTCTTCACCTTTAGCAGAGACCATATGTTTTAGATGCTTGTGGCAAAGCCCAAAAAATTTGTGGTTCTAGTTACAGAATTGTTGTTATGTTCAGTGCCAGCACAAGCTTTTGGTTACAAAAATCAAGCAAGCAGAGGGACATGGAGATGGGAGATGTCTTGTCAGTAGCTGGGTTTTCGTTTTGGTTTAAATTGGGCTTTAAACCAATTATATTGTCCTTCCTGAGCCTTTTACCTGCTCCTCACTTCAAAGCATGCCACTCCTCACCCCTGTAGTATTCATGCGGTCAGTACTGGGTTTGCAATGCTCTGCTACATATGTAATATTAATATGCCGGGGTGGTCTCTTTTCACTCCACAGATTTCTAAGACGAATGATTGTCTTACATGTGGACATGCTAATAACTTGGTTTAGCTGTGATACATGGCAATTTAAAGGCAGAACATGGTGAGAAGGGGCCAAGTCTTTTTTATTGGCTGTCAGTGCCAGTTTGCATATTGTTATCATGATGCTGCTTAAGCAGTGGCTTTCCGAAGTAAACTGGTAAGCTGCCTAATTCAAATGTTAGGAAGACCTTAATATGACCTTCAATGAATCTGCATATGATTCATTTTCCATCCATTATGCAAAGAAAAAAAATGGAAGCAGATGGAAACAGATCATATAATAGGAATGATTTCTAAGAATTAGAATTCCATTCAACTCCCAATAGGCCTGGCACATCTTGACAACAACATAAATCTGTGTTCTGTAAAGGAGGGCTGCCATGAATGTGCAGTTGAAAGCTGTGGCATCCATGCAGAGGGCTCCGTTGTCCAAAGTTAACCATGGGATTTGGGAGGAGCTAGGAGAACTGTAATGCTAAGAACACTTAAGAAGTTAGGATAAGTTTGAATTCTATATCTAGATCTTGCAACCTGCTAGGATAATAATGTTTTTGTGGCTTAGGCAAAAGAAGGGTCCAGCCTGAAATCAGAACTAAGTGTTTTTACCTCTTTTTCTGACTTTTCATTTCCTCCTGCTTCCCAGCATTGCAGCTTCCCTTAGCCAATGATGGCAGCAGCCGTTCCTCCTCTTTGGAGAACTCACCCCAGCATCACACTCACCCATCACGTCCCCGAAACATGCTAGGCCTGCCTCCTCAGCCACCATTCCTCATGCACAGGAGCATGGAGAGGTAAGCAGAGTTAAGAATCAGTCAGACCAATGCAGGTGTTCTCTGCTGCATTTATCCTACCTTTGTTAGTCATTTAATCTCATGCAAGTTATTGTTGCCTTTTTTTTCTTCTTTGCAGTCATATGAGAAAAGGCCAGCTTGATTTGGGAGAGAACTTTTTATTGTTGTTACTTAATAATTTATGAATTAGTAATTGTAGAAGTGCAGTTATTGTTTGCTTTGACAGAGCTATGCACAATGTAGAAGCAGTTTACACATTTGTGTACTTATATACCCTTGGATAATAGCAAGTAGACATGGGCTATTCATATTGGTATCCCTGGGGATATGAATATGAATCACTGTTCCAAAGGTGCCATGGATGCCCATTCTCTCCCCCCAGAAATGATTGGTCTACTCAACAGTTGCTGCGTAGCACTCAGGTCCTTTGTCGTTGTCATGGCAATCCAGGAAGGAGCCTGGCCAACGTTTCCCTGCCTCCCTGCACAGCCAAACACTACGGTGAGGAAGTGGGATAGGAAGTCTCCTTGCTCAGCTGATGAGAGGTCAGCTGTGTGGGGAGGTGGGGAAGCATCGGCTGGGCTTCTTCTCAGATTGATACAGCAATGATGATGAAGGACCCGAGTGCTGCACATTGACTAATGTGTGGACCAGCCAGTTCTGGGGGCAAGGGAATGGTCCTCCATGGCACCTGTGCTGCTGCCATTCATACTTGTATCCCCAGGGATATGAATAGCCCATGTCTAATAGCAAGTTAGGGGACATGGTGGCGCTGCAGGTTAAATTGCAAAAACCTCTGGGCTGCAAGGTCATAAGATCAGCAGTTTGAATCTGTGCGACAGAGTGAGCGCCCGTTGTTTCTCCCAGCTCCTGCCAACCTAGCAGTTCAAAAGCATGTAAAAATGAGAGTAAGTAAATAGGTACCACCACTGTGGGAAGGTAACGGCGTTCCATGTCTAGTTGCGCTGGTCACATGACCACCGAAACTGTCTACGGACAAATGCCGGCTCCATGGCTTGGAAACAGGGATGAGCACCGCCCCTAGAGTCGGACACGACTGGACAAATTGTCAAGGGGAACCTTTACCTTTACTAAAAAGGTAAAGACCTCTCTTTTTTAAACTAATGTGTTGATTTTGCCTATTAAATGAGTAATTTGTTGCACATGGACACAAGCATACAGTAGTAGAAATGTTAATCTTAATGGCCTTAGAAATTGATAAAGAAGTTTCTTTGTCTTTTCAATTTGCCAAATAATGAAAACTTAGTAAAGGTAACTTGAATGGAGACAATCCTATAAGCGTGGAGATTTTCCTAATGAAAAAATGTATTCTCAACTACAAATAAGAACATCACTTTTGATTTGGAGAAAAATTGTCTTATTAATATCGTCACACTTACAGGCTTCTAAGCTCTTCTAGATGCACATCTTAGAAACAAAATCTGCTTGTCCTTCATGGTTTCGTCTTTTGTTTGCTGAAAAACTGCACTGATGCATTACCATATCACAGATAAGACTTGCTGTACATTATTCTACCTTTCTTCCGTTTCCCCTTCTAGTATAGAGATCGATCAGAAACTACAGGAAATTATGAAGCAGACGGGTTACTTGACCATCGGAGGGCAGGTGAGCAGCAACAAATTAAAGGTGGAGGATGGCAAGCTAAGCAGCTAGTTAAAGAAAACGAACTTTGGAATAGAGCACCATGATGTTAAGCTGAATAGCACAACAGTATGATGATTGTGGAACATTCATATTTTCTCCCTGTTTATTATGATGCAACCCAAAACAGAGGGGCCAAGTCAGAACTATGCCTTTCAGAAAGACAAGCCCACTGTTGTGTGCCTGCATGTTGTTCCTCTGAATAGTGGTCTGTTGATGCTTCCTTTGCATTTAACTTCCACTTTAGGTTGATCAGCCAGTGTAGTTTCATGGAACATACAGTATTTAACTGGCAAGAGATGAGGTTTGCAGTTGTTTAAAACACTTTGAAATATGATGAAATAAGGGTTACTTTAAAGCAGCCTCCATCTTCTCAGTATGTTATTGGTCACTAGTGTCTCTATTTGCCTATGAGCTGACTGTGTTTATCTTCTCACAGAGATACCAGGCAGAAATCAATGACCTAGAAAACCTAGGTGAGATTGGAAGTGGGACATGTGGACAGGTCTGGAAAATGCGTTTTAAGAAGACAGGCCACATCATAGCAGTGAAGGTGAGGCAGACTTTCTTGCATGCTGAGAGTCAGGTGTCTAAAACCAAAGGGCAATATCGTGCAGTATAATCCTGCAGGGACTCACTGATGATCAGGTGAAGCTCTGAGGAGCCTGGATGGTTTGTTCTTGTTTCATCTGTTGAAGGAGACGTGGGTTTGGATGGGATAAAAAAAATTTAGATTAAGTGCCATGTCTTTACTGAATTGGTCATAAAGCATTCATGGTTTGTGACTGAAAATCATATCACCCACTTCTTTAACGTGGTTCTCTATGAATCCACACTGATGGGTTAAACAGCGCCTGCGCTGGTTCCTCTCGGAATTTCCCAGAGCTATGAGGAAAAAGATACAATGTTCGAGTTGCCCTGCACTGCGCAAGTGCAGCCCGCCAAAAATCCCCAGTTCCATGTGCCCGCACATAGAGAGAGTTGGAACTCAGTCAACAGTGACGGACACGTGGGGAGGTTGGGCGGGTCGTGTGTATTCATAGAGAATCCACTTAAAGAACCATGTTTACAGGTAAGTAACCTGTTCTTTTTGTCTTCCCATGTCTGCTCCCAGTGCTTACTTTTGCCCCATTTTCCCCCTTTTGCTCAGCAAATGCGTCGTTCTGGTAACAAAGAAGAGAACAAGAGGATTCTAATGGACTTGGATGTGGTTCTGAAAAGCCATGATTGTCCCTACATAGTTCAGTGCTTTGGGACATTCATCACAAATGTAAGTGAACCCAGTGCTGCCATCTTCTCTGGCATCTACTTGTTTGTAAATGAACATTAATAGTAACATTTGATTTTGATTTTTCCCTCCCTACCCTTTAGACGGATGTTTTTATAGCGATGGAGCTAATGGGCACATGTGCAGAGAAACTGAAGAAACGCATTCAGGGACCTATCCCTGAGAGGATCTTGGGAAAGATGACTGTGGCGGTGAGTGAAACCTCACTTGTGTAATCCAGATCAAGTGCTTACAACTTGTTGTCTCCAGCTCCAGAAAGTATTCCGCACATCTTGAAGCAATAATAATTTCTTACATATATCTCTCTAGGAATGGGGCATTGATATTTTTTAGACTCAGGCTCCTAAAATCTGCCAGGAATTCCCCAGGCAGATATGGAATACCTCCCTCCCCCAAAGTACACAGAGCAACTTCCTGTGTGCCTTTCAGAAAGGGTACTGTCCCAGTGCTCTGTAGGAGTTGCAAGGTTTTGTGGGGTGATGGTGGTAGTTCATAGGAAAGGATAATCTTTAGAGCCTAATGGGGCACGCTATCACTCGCCCTCCTGATGAAGCCTTGCAATTTCCTTCTTTTTGAAAGAAATACAGTAAGAGAGGCGCACGTGTAGGTATGAAAGCTGCTGTGTATCCTGTTTATTGATGGATGGATGGATGGATGGATGGATGGATGGATGGATGGATGGATGGATGGATGGATGGATGGATGGATGGATGGATGGATGCATTCATTCATTCATTCATTCATTCATTCATTCATTCATTCATTCATTCATTCATTCATTCATTCATTCATTCATTCTTGCCAACTTCAAGGAGTTGAAATTTAAAAAAATCTGAAAGTCCTCTCTTTGTATATCTCCTCTGTCCCTCAATGAGAACAGTTTTCTATTTCTTATATGTCAAGAGAGAAGTTTTAGGAGGAAAAAGCTTCAGTGTCCAGAGGACTACATATGTGTGCTTTGCTGCTTCCCTCTTCCTCATATATTCTTAGGACTCTGGGTAATTACATCCGTAGTAACAGCTCTGATTGTTTAATAACAATAGAGAACGGGGCTATTGGAATGCTCATCTGACTCCTTCATCTAGTCCACTGTTTTATCTTTCCAGAAAGTCATCAAAAGAAAAAGATTGTTCCTTTCAAAGCTTCCCCCACTTTTTGGTGTTTCTGATATTTCCATATGTGTGAACTGTGATTAGAAAACAATCTTTGCATAATTCTTTTCTTAGAGTTTAAATTCGATTTTAACCTGTCTAATAATGTTGGCAAAATGAAAAGAAAAAGAGATGAAAGGGGGAAATATTCTGGCGCTTTAATAACTGACATATTTGTTTCAGTATCAGCTTTCATTGATTAAAATCAAATTCTTCAGACACAAGGAATGCCTAATAATGTTACCTGTGTAGTTTGATTTGTTCCTTGATATAAGTCCTGAGAGTACTAAGTGAACTTCTGAAAAAAAAAGGAAGTTCTAAGTAATATGTGACAATGTAGAAGTTGAAGCTTACAAAAATAAATGATTAAGAATGTCACTACACTTCTCTCTCCAACAATACTGGGGTTAGGAGTGCCAGTTCTCTATCAAGTTGATCTTTCATTATGTTGACCATCCTTTCTATATAGTACCATGTGCAATGAGCCTTAGGGTCTTTCTGACACACACCGCCCCGATCTATAGAGGCTGAATTAGAGATACTGTGTTTGGAAGCATGTAAATTACTTTGACACTTTTGGTACTGAATTATGGGACTTTGGGTAGCCAGAGGCACCATATTTATTGAATATTTACTTATTGAATATTTATTTATGTATTTATTTATTTTAAAAAGTCTGTGTATAACCAAAACTGTGCTGCCCAGGCCCATGCAATTTAAGGGAGAAATGTAATGTACTAGATCTTTTTAAAAAATGATAAGCTTATGATATCTGGAATACCTCCAGGAAGGGGTGCTTTTATTCATGAAAACTTAACATAGCACAACTATGTAATAAACTGTAGTTGTGGGTTTTGTTTTTGTCAGTAGATCTCACTGAAAAAGCGAAGATAGTATCATTGAGAAACATTGGTACAATTTCTCATTCCAAGGAAAGAAAATGTTTTACAATAGCTTCCCATTTATTGGTCAAAATCCTGATCACATAAGGCATAAATTTTCAAAGTGAATTGCCACAAGGCAAGAAATCTCCATAGACATTATCTGTTATATGCCAAGTTGTGTGACTCAGTGTGTAGCAGATAATGTCTATAGAGATTTCTTAACTTAAGGAAAGAGGTGACACTTTGTGCACTACAGGATTTTAGTCATCATGTTCATGAATGCTGGTTTTGTACAGTAATCTGTATGTCTGAAACACTGTACTGTGATATTGTCCTAAGTTTTTCATGTAATATTTATGTACACAAACTGGGTAATATACATCTTTCCCAAATATGTAATCCCCATAGTGAATGAATTATCTTTGTTTTCAAAGCAGTACTTAAGTTTTTGGCCACATTAATTAAAAAAAGTAGCCTTGATAATTGTTCCCAGACCTGAGCACTGAGGCTTTGCATATAGTGAACAACTGCTGATTTGTTGCTTTCAGATTGTCAAAGCACTCTACTATTTGAAAGAGAAGCATGGTGTCATTCATAGAGACGTGAAACCTTCCAATATCTTGTTGGATGAGAGGGGGCAAATCAAATTGTGTGACTTCGGAATCAGTGGAAGGCTGGTGGACTCAAAAGCCAAAACTCGAAGTGCTGGTTGCGCAGCATATATGGCGGTAAGAAGTGGTTAGGGAGCATCGCCCAGGATCTGGACATGATGTAATTGAATTAACTAATCTGTGGGCCCCACTCTTTGTTCAAATAATCCCGTGTCTGAAACTCAGTAGTAAATCACAACTAGAGTAAACCCATTGAATACAGAGGAGTCGACTCACTAGTCCCCACTGAGTCATTGGGCCTACTCTAGTTGTGACTTACTACAGTGGTGCCTCGTGAATTTTAAAAACCCATTGAAACGCATTGAAAGCCCTTCAATGCATTTCAGTGGGCTAAATACCTCATCGTAAAGCAAAGATCCTCCATAGGGCGGCCATTTTCCGGTGCCTGTATAGTGAGGAATCCATCCTAAGGCACAGCGGGGAGCCATTTTGCACAGCAGGCGGCCTTTTTAGAGCCGCCAATCAGCTGTTTGAAAATCGTCACTTAGCGAAAAATCGGTTCCCGAAGTAGGGAACCGATCATTGTGAAGCGAATTTTTCCTATTAGAACATGGTTTAGCAATCGCAAAAACTTCATTGTCAAGCGGTTTCATTGTTTAACAAGGTAATCGTTAAGCGAGGCACCATTGTACTGGATTTCAGCCTGTAAGGCTAAAATAGATTCTTAGCTGATTTCCTGTCCAAGCAGTGCCTTGTGTTGGGCCTGCTTGCTTTTAGCCATTGAAATGCACCATGTATCTGAGGTTGTTTTTTGAAACAGAGGATAAAATCACTTGTGTTCTACACTATAGAAGGTTGTCACTGGATTCTCTCCTTAGTTTCCAGACACAAACGCTATGCAGTCATCAGTCCAGTAAAAAAACTCCTTTTCTTTTCTCAGTGGTTTTTAAAGTGTTGTCTGTTGTTTCATTGTGTTGTGAACTGCACAGAATGGCCTTGGTAGCCAGATGGGCAGTATAGAAGTTGAATTAAGAATAAGAATAAGAATTGGAAAAACGAACAAAATACAGAGACCTGGCAATCGAAACATTGTGCTTGTGGATGAGACACACTTCAGTGGTCCCTGTAGTCATCAGGGCTTTGGAAACAATATCAAGAAATTTAATTCGGCCTCATAAGAAATTACAGATCTCAGAAATAACAGCATCAGAGCTACAAAAAAGAGCAATATTAGGAACAGCATACATACTGCACTAATATTTAAGAGATACTTAGGTATTTGGTTACAACTTGTATCT